TTCTTTTCCTCTCAGCAGGCGGGACTACTCCCATCTCTTCAGAAGCTCTGACCAGAACTTAGTATAGCTCCTGCTTCTGGATCCAAGTTAGACTACTAGGGAGGAAATTACAGGGGAAGGAAAAGGGCGAAAGTTTCCCCTCAAATCTGGAGATGGCGGGGGAGAGTAAATAAAATCTGTATTGTAAATAGTAATGAAAATATCAGACTCACATACTAATTAGAATGTTATTCAAGCATTGTTTTCTGGTAAATTGTTAATAATGATGCTATCAGTAAGTTTATCTCAGAATTGAATATTAGCTTAATTTGTGAGCTATTTTACAATTTTTTCTCCTATTATTACATTTTCTCCAAGTTTGAAAACAGAGCACTTCTAAAATTCAGATTATATGATAGAATATAGGTTCTACAATGAAATGATAAATTCATTAAAAGGATGTTCCAATATTATGTTGGTTTATACTTTATAACTTTTTATGATATTTAACTGTTGCTATTGATTATTATGATGAAACATAATCACTTAGATTCTAAATACTTTTGACAGAAAATACTTGAATTCCAAGTACTTTTTACTTACTCACAGAAATCTTAGATCTGAAAAGAATGTTAGAATTCATCCAGTTGCATGTACTCTAATTTTACCTATTTGAAAACAGGGACTTAGAAAATTGAGTAACTTTCTCAAATATCTCAGGTGCTTGTAGATTTAGAACTGGTCTTCTGCTCTCAGATTGGAGTGGTTTCTATGATTAAGTTTGATGTCCTATTATCTTTTAAAAGGCTTGTAGTTATGTAACAGTATTTCTACAAAAGCACTATATTTTTTGGTTTAAAAAGTATTAGTGATACTGAAACTAATAAAAACATTTTTATTACTTAAAATAATTATTGAAACATATAATTTGATAGTAGAGTTCTAGCAATTCTCAGGAAAGGTGAAGTTTTGAATTTAAACTAGAATCTTGGTGGAATTTTCTTTGAATTAAACCTGAGGGAAACTACATGCATTAAGTGTTCTGGGCAAATTTCCAGCATTATACCACATGAAGATTGACATGTCTTGTAAAGAGGAACTAATGCAATAAACTTATAGAATTTTTTGTCTGTTTAGGTTCTAAATATTCATGAAAGGAAGCTTGCCTCAGTATTTCCCTTAATTTAGTATGTGGGACTTCACAATTTTCTGTGGCCTTCTAACTTTCTTTTTAAATGAAATGAAATTATTTATGTAGAGAAAGAATAAGAATGCTGGTGGGAAGTTCTTTAAAAAAGGAGATCTATATATATTTACATATATATGTACAGAAATTATTATATATAATACATATACCTATATAATCTATCTATATATATATATTCAAATCAATCCATTCAAATTCGTAAAAGTACAAAAGGATCTACAGTGGGAGATCTCCCTCCCACTCTGTCTTCCCAGCAAGAAATCCTCTCCCCAGAAAGAAGCACTTTAACCAGTTTCTCACGTAGCATTCCAGAGATAATTTGTTTAAACTTTAACAATTATGTAAATATTCATATAAAAGCACAAGTACTGTATACACTGCCCTGTACCTGGCTTTTTAAAAAAATGACAATATATCTTGGAGATTGATTGTTCCATATCAGCACATATAAAGCTCCTTCATTTATTTTAATGGCTGCATAGTATTAGCATTCTATTGTGGAATATAATGTTTAAGATCACATTCCATCACATGACATATTATTAATATTATATTCATATTTATTGATTTAATTTTGTTTTATTTATATTTATTAATATCATAGTAATATATAACTAGCGCTCCACTGATATTTAACTAGCTTTCTGTCTTGTGCTATTTCAAACTATATTTAAAACATGTATGAGTTTATCTGTAGATGAAACAGAATGCTAGGTCAAAGTGTATGTACATTTGTAATTTTGATAGATTTTGCTAAAATATCCTTCATTTACATCATCATATCCTCAGTAATTACAATATGTTTATCAAACTTTTTGATATTTACTAGTCTAGTAGGTGAAAAATACTTTCTCATGTAGTTATAATTTGCATTGCTCTAATTTGAGTGAGGTGATCATTTTTTCATAAACTTAAGAGCCTTTTCTGTGAGCCGTCTGTTCATATTTCTTTTCATTTATTTGTTTTTTCTTGTTATTATTGATTGTAGAAACTTTTTATATATATATAAAAATTAGACTATTGGGTTTAAGAATTGTAGGGCTTCTCACCCTGCCCCTCATTCCTTGATTGTCATTTTTTTGGGGGGGGAGGGGGTGCAGTTTTTGTTTTAAAATGCAATAAATTTTGTTTTTAATGTATCAGATTTTTATCAGTCTTGCTTTATGCCATTTATAGATTGTAAACACAGACTTCCTATGTGTTGTTTCAGTGCTGTAATGGCTACACTTTTTACAATTAATCATTTGATTCATCTAGAATTTATTGAGGTGAAGTAAGATTGCCATACTTTTTTTGGCTGTCTCAGATGGCTATCCAGTTTTCTCAAACTGTTTACTGACCTTATCATATCATATCTTTTTCCAGTTGATTTGAAATGCCACTTTTATTGCATACTTCATTTCCACGTGTTTATATATCTTTGACCTATTTCCCAGTTTCGTAATTTGTTCCATTGACCTTCCCATCTGCCTACCACACTGCTTCATGATGTTTTTAACATCTAAGAGAGCTGGTTCCCCTCAGAGCTCCTCTTTTTTGAGAGATACCATGCTAATATTTAATTGTTATTTTACCATGTGAACTGTAGAATCAACTTGTATAATAACCTCAACAGATTTTTAAAAATATATCCTAGAAGTACTATTTTTTTTTAATTGGCAGTGTATCAAATCATATAGCTTAGAGAAAATTGACACCTTTTTGATATTGTCTTCTTTTTATAATGATAAAATATCTTTTAACTATCTTGTGTTTTAACTTTTTTTGTGACATTTTCTTCCTGTAAACTTTGCATATGTCTTAAGATTTTCTAGATGTTTTACTCTCTAATAAATTAGAACTCTTCTGTTGTTTTGCTGATTTGTGTATGTGTATGTGTTAAGACTATCGGTTCAGTATATTAATTTTCCACCTTGTACCATTTTACATTTGTAATAATTTTTCTGTTGATATTTTTGGATTTTCCAGGAAAACAATCAGATTATCTGTAAGTAATAATAGTTGTGTCTTTTTCTTTCCAATTTTGTTTTTTCTTTATTTTCTTTTCCCACGTCATTGGCTAGTACTTCCTGAAGAATAGTAAATAGTAGTAGAGCTAGCTTCTCTTGACTTTCATGTTAACAGTCATTCATGATTTAGCCATAAATAAAAGCATATTCTCTCTCTTATTCTCTTTCTCCTGTGTAGATTATGTAAGGAAATATTGAACTATTTTTTTAAACAATTGCATTAAGAATGAATATAAGTGTTCCAAAACTGATTTATGGTGACAAATGCACTATTTGGTAAAATTACTAGATGTCATTGATTGGCACTTGAAATAAGTCAGTTTTAGGATATATAAGCTATGCCTCAATAAAATTGTTTTTAAAAAAGAATGAATAGAGTATTTTATCAAGTAACTTTTAAGTATCTATAGAGATGATCATGTGTCCTTTGACTTTTACTTTATTTATATGGTAAATTGTTTAAACAAGACAAAATTCTTATACTCCTAGAATAAATCCTACTTATTCATAGTATGCTAATCTTTTTATGTAGTTTTCAATTCTGTTTGCTAAGTTTTTAATTTAGGAGTTAACATCAGCACTTAGAAGGGTGACTCATTTGTAGTATCCCTTTTATGTACTTTCATTATTGGGTGATGATATCTATATTATACCTTACTGTTTAAATAAGAGTTTGGAAACTTTCCTTCTTTTTTCATGGTTTGAAATAGTTAAAATAGTATCAGAATTGTTTCTTTAGAATTCTTTAGAATTCTCCTCTGAAGCCATCTAGGCCTCTTTTTGTTTATTTATGAATTTGTTTGTTGGAAGGACAGTCAGGAAGGTAGCTCTTTGATTTTTATTGCATTACAGTATTTACGTATTTAAAAAATTCTCTATGGTTTTTTTTTGGGGGGGGGGGGGGTATGGAGTATGGTTCCTTAAGTGTGTATATTATTTACCAAACATCTTCAATTCATACTGATTGAGTACTCTCCTAATCAAGGGTGAGGCCATCTGTTATTGTTGAGTTATTGTTTTTGAGAGCGGTGGCTCTTTTCTTATATTCAGTGTTTGATGGTATTTGACAGTCATGTCTCCCATTCCAAGATTTAGACATTAAGGACTGTTCTATAATTTTACTGTTGAGATTGTGATATTATAAACCTTAATGTGTGTTTATATTGCTCTGTAGACCATTATTATCATCTTTAGTGTAATTTGCCAAGAGAGCCCAGTTTTACTGCAGGTCACACAGCAAACACCGTGTTGGTCTTTAACGGATACAACAGATTTATCTCGCTCTTGTACATCGTAGACATTCAGTAATCCTAGTGAACGAAATATTTGTTTAGCATCTTTTGTGTTTTTGCTTGTGGAGGATATAAAAGACATATTCCAGCACATGTTACAAATGCAAAATTGAGTTAAATGTTGAGGCAAATATATGAATTCAGATATATTAAAGGATACAGCTTTACATACTTGTCTAGGGGATAATGACTTTGAAATAATTTTTAGATAAAGTTACAAGTAAATACTGATTTAGTCTCCCTTATACCTGGCCTGAATTTACAGATTATTTTAAAGAGCTAAAACTATTTCAGCGGTATTTTTGCTTTTCCATGTGACTTGTGCTAATATGCTAAGAAATGGAAATCACAACACCATATTAACAGTGGTGCAAAAAATGATAATGTTGATTTAAATGTAGGTTATAGTGTTTATTTTAAAACATGGTAAGAAAAAGGTATGATATTTGATAAAATTATACTGGATTGTGTTGAAGGTTTATTGACAAAGTTTTTTGTTTTTTTTTTTCATAGACTTATCTAAAAACAGACTGGTTGAAGTTCCAATGGAATTGTGCCATTTTGTATCACTGGAAGTTCTTAATCTATATCATAATTGTATCAAAGTCATTCCTGAGGCCATCGTTAATCTGCAGATGCTGACCTACTTAAACTTGAGGTAGGTTAACTATAAAGGTTGTAATAAAAGTCAATAAAAATATGCTTTTATTTCTTAATTTTTTTCTCTTTGTAATTACTGCTCACCCTTTGAAGTAAATCACACAAAGATCATTTTAAGAAATATCTTTTATAATACATTCGTAACGCCATTAATATTGTTTTTTGTGTGTGTGTGCTAGACTTTTCTGAATGTCAATATGACAAGATATTTTTGTTTTTTTAAAAATAATTTATATGGCATCATTTATACTTTTTGTCTCTTTGGTGCTTAGAAGTTTGTTGATATATTGCCTTCAGGTATTAAGGTAGATTTTGGAGGAGGAGGGCTAAAGGAAGTAAAAAAGAACTTGGGTGTTGGGATGGTCTTTGGGAGTTATTGGTACCATTGGATTTGCTGCCTAGTACTAATTGAGCCTGTTCACTTTAGGCCACCTGAGAAAGTTCAGGAGGAGCACTGAGCAACTCCAGGAAGACAGGAAGTTTGCTGTCTTTGTAGCCCATTAAATTAAGACAGTTTTTGCTGAGGATGGGTCACTCTCTGATTATGCACAATATAATGTAACTAATTAATGCCCCTGCGTAGCCCTGAAGTTAAGAAAATCAGCTGTTTTAGGGGTTTTAGATTTTGCTGCTGTGACTGTCAACTGCGCTGGCTAGATTTTGGCTCTTTGTCTCCTAAGTCATTTACTCACATTTAGGAGGTCAGGAGAGAGAAGTAGATGTTTTATCAAATCTATCTATACTATAAAAATAAGATTCCAAAATTCAAGCCCGAGCATAGCCTTCACTCATGTCAGTGGCATTATCTTGGTATGCAAAAGATAGCACCTGATTAGCAAGGTTTGTGCTGTATAACAAATGTGCTGAACTTTGAAGTGCAAAATTTCCAATGAATCAAGTATAGCATTAATTTATGATAGATAATAATGTCAGTTAATTTTTAGTTTTTTTAGTTTTTTTTTTTTTTTTGATTGACCACTGAGAATTAGGGGTCTTCGGCTGCTTTCTTTGCAGTCAAGAATAGGTTTCTATTGCATTAGGAGTGCATAGCTTCTTCCTTGGGAGTGAAAAACAATCCTAAATATGTTTTTAAGTGGCCTTGACTTCTTTTTGGTAAATAAGATGTATGTTACTATTAGGATAATCTAAATAATCGATCTAACTTTCATTTGTCCTGGTTTTTTGTTCACTGACCATTTTGAGTTTCCTTGCATAAGAACAGATCAAGCCATTTCTGCTTTAGCAGAATGTTAATTATCTTGGAATTGCCTGATGGAGCCAGTATAGTGGTGTCTATAGATTTTGGTTCACCAACTCCTTAAGACATCTAGATGTCCAAACCCGGGTAGGGGAAATATTCCAAGAACATATTGGTTCGTTTACTTTACTTACCTACTCCTGTCCTGCTGTGACATTTTCACCTCTATCAGTCCTGCGTGCAACAAGAAATTTAACTTTGTATTGTTATATTAAGCCCATTTGCACTGAAAAACTTTTGGATGTAGGTGACATTTTTCTTCTTGGATGGTAGAAACTATAAAATCCTATAACTTCTAGGTAACCTAATCTTAAAATTTATATTATGCTTTAAAAGCATTAATAAAATTGGTTTTGATATGATCATTTTCATGTTGAGCCTAATTGATAGTAAGTAATATTGCTATATTCAGATGATAAGAAGAAAGAATATAGGGAGTATAAATCTCAGATTCTTTAGAGCAAGAACAGAGAGAAGTCATTGAAACTGATGATAGCTGAAGAGGAACTGTGGGGTATATTGTAAACGGAGTTTGTGATGAATTCCTAGATAATGGAAAGGAGAAAGAAATAAAGAGATCTTTAAGCACCCAACTTTTTAAACTTTGTTTTCTGCCTATAATTGTTTAATTTCTTGTTCGCCTCTATCTTTCTACCCATTTATATAGGTCATTTTAATTTTTTGTTTTTCTTTGTTCACATCAGCTACTTTAATATTACCATATTTTAAGACATATTCTCTGGTGATGAATCGTGACTCTCCAAAGGAATTGATAACTAAATGAAGAACATTAGGAAAAAGTATGTCTCTTACATTTTAGAGATATTGTATATCTTCTAACATCTTTGAAAGCCAGGGACTGTAATATACATGTATAATTATTTTTGATACCTTCTATCAAATTTACTTCATGAACATAAATGTGTAACATAAAATTTAACATAGGGCAAGCTTTGAAGTGACCAGGAGAGGGTCATCTTGTTTATTTATTTATAATGCCTTTAACACCTGTTTAAATATTGAGTTAAGTTAAAACATGTCTTCTAGGAATTAGACCCTTGAAATTGAGTTATTTCTCTCTTTAAAAGTGATTTGAGGGAAACTCTTATATTCGCCTAAAAGATTTACTTGTAGCTTGTGAAATAGTAGGCGAATGTTACATGTTTATTGTCAAATATGTAATAATTACTAGAAAATATAAGCGGCATCTAATTAAATTGCAAGTCTTCTAAGATGTTGAGTAATGTCCACATGATAGTGGTGTTGTCTGTGTGAGTTCTTCCCGTTCTCAAACTACCAGCCTACTCCCAGCCACCCCTAAGCTGATAACCAGGTGGAATTTAGAATATTGTGCTTGTGTGTGATCATGACATTATGTCTCATTCATAATGACCAAAATCAGTCGTCGTGACTTTTTCATTTCTTTTCTACCCCTCATGAAACTTAAGTCAACAAAATAAAGTGTATTTCTTCTTGGACGTGGTGAAGAAGCGTGGGGGACTTCTGTTGCCTTTTGGCCTTTGGAGGAGAGGTTGCCAATCCATTCACTTGAAAAAAAAAAAAAAACTCAGGATATTGCAAACATACTGCCTTGTAGAAGAACTTCTGGGTTGCCTTCAATATAATTTATTTTCTGTACTAGTTGTAAATGGGATATTATGTGAAAGAAGAAGCTTATATTCTAGACAGAACATGACAGATAATGTCATGTTCAAATCATGACATTATCACTAACTTAGATATAATGAGGAAGTCTGTATAAATTTCAGAAAATTAAATACTGTAAATTATTTTTGAGCACACACTTAAGGCAGAGTAATCAAATATAGTACATTCTGAAAGAGCTTGAACAAATAGGCAAGTTCATTAGATTTTAGGAATAAGTACCAGAAAACACTTTCTTTTCTGTAGTACTTATAATTTTCCCTCTTATTTCTATTAACTAAAAATAAAAATTATTAGATAAAATAGTACAGAGAAGCTGCTTTTCATATTTTCACAGATTTCATGTTTCTAATTAAAACTAAACATGGTCTCACTGTTTTAATTTTTTTCTCTTTTTAATAAATTTCATGTAGAAATTCCTAATTTTGTATGTTTCAAAGTAGAAGAGATGCCATATGAAGCTACTTTGAATTTATAGGAAACATTTAAAATTGATTATACCCTCTGGGATATGTTAGGTACTCCAGGAGAGTAAACAGCCATAAATATTTGATGTTGATGGTGATAATGATGATAACAAAGATGATGGTGGCGGTGGTGGTGTTATATCACTGCCTACCCACCTTCTTGGCTGACAGGATCTCTCAGTGATGTTATCTTTAAATGTCAAATGGCTGCTTCTTGCCAGGAACCCAATTTCTGTCTTAGACTAGAGATGAGTTTAATTAGCACATGTGAAAAAAATCTTCACTGTTAAATGCCATTAAAACACTTAAGTGATAGAAATGTCATATTTGTGGAAAATATTAATTTATTGCTGTTTATGTAGCCTGTGTTTGAAGGATCTGGGCTTTTAATCTTTGCTTCCTTGTGTCTGCAACAATAGTGTATGTTAGTTTAGTATATGGACCACTGTGTCTCTTCCTGTTATAAAGGGGCTTAATCCAAGAAATGTGGCCAAGAACAATAAAAATGATTAAGCAAGACTTGTTCCTATATAGGAACAAACATACTGAACCTGAGTTACACAGGAAAGCCTCACAAAGTTTAAAATCTATTTTAAGATGTTGGAGAGGTTGTTGTTGATGAGACTCATGAAGAAAATGTACCTTAGGAAAATAGACTACCTAGATTAGCAAAACTCTTGGCAATCATAGGGGTGTTGTGAATCTAAGAATAGAGATCTTAGCTTTAAAGTTTCATCTCACAGAGAGGTTCAGGAATAGAAAAAGAAAAAAAGTTTCTTTACAGCCTTTGATCATATTGCTTTCAGAACTCTTGGTGAATGATTTTACTTTTGGTGGATGAAACACACAGAGCCAGGATCTGGTTTATTCTTTAGAATTCCCTATCTCTCCCAATCTACTAGTAGTAGATTATGAGGCATTGCCTATAAAAAAGGGGAAAGCTTCTTGAACAAAACGTTATCACATCGTAAAAAGGAATCTGTTTTGGTTGCTTTTTCTGAAGCCTGGCATTCTTTTTGGCTGCTAAACAATGTGCAGAAAGAACCAACTTCCTGATGGTTGTATAACCTGTATCCCCACATTCCTGGGGGCGGGGATCATTCTGAGAAATAATCTTTAATCCTCAATATTGCTTTCTATTGGAAGGATTGGAAGAAGCATCCTGCAAGCTAGAGTTGCCTTAAAATGCAGATTTTATATATTTTTGTTGTGAACACAAATTAATTTTAATTGTTTCTAAAAATATTAATTTTATCCCTAAGTCTCCTTGCACTGACATTTCTGAAAAAGTCTCAATTGTAAGATAACATTTCTTCTATCTGAAAACTGATAAAATTGATGGTGTCTTCCTAAACCGGAAAAGGTGAAGAATTTTGTTCAATTCAAGACAAACTTGTAAATTTCACATCCTTTTATGACAATTTTACCTCATTCAAAGGGAAAATGAGAATACTTTATATATTTTGGAACTGGCCTTTGGTAGCTAGATTGTGTCTTGTGAAGTGACAGA